GTTAATGAGAGGGTGGGCTTTGTGTTGGGTTTACTTTGTTTTTTTTAATATAAATTCTCAGTGATTGCTAGGACTTTAGTTTTTTTCCAACCTTTCTCATCTTTGTAATGGATAGGAACCCCTGCTATTTTTACATCGCTTTCCTTCAGACTAATAAAGCAATAAGCTGTAAACAGTGGGAGTTTTCACTGAGCTGAGTTTGTGCTGCACCAGTCCCTGTGGCAGCAGACATTCCCTCATGCATAATGATATGGTGACCCTGAAACAGTGATACTTAAACTGATAGTTTCAGTACATTAGCAACTTAAGAAATTAATTTAGTAAGCAGACATTTTTTGGTCTTAGCATAGAAAGTAAATGTAGATGATACTAAAGATGATACTTGGTGGCATCATAAACATCTTACAGCTTTTGCTTCTTTTAAGAGTAGGCAGGTGTAACAAGTATACAGCAAGAAATATTTTGTAGTAATAAAGGTAGGAAGGGCAAGCAGTAGAGATCTGCAACAGCCTTTTCAAGGACCTCAAGTCTTGTGAAGGGTATATAATGGAAAGTATCTATTGAGATCTATATTATCCTCCAGAAACCTGTGATAATGCTTCCTCCACATTTGCACCTTTATATTTGGCCTCTTTCCCTACCCATCAAGTCCAAGTGAAGGAAACGTGTTTGCAGAATTTGGCCAGTGAGCATTTACTAGGAATACTCACAGCTTCTCGTTGCTCCCCAAAAGAAGCTTCTGAGTTTATAAAGAACTGAAATCTCAATCTAGAGCAGTTTCAATACCAGCATAAGGATGTAATTGATTAAATATAGATATAGAATTCAAACTCAAAGTAAATGTTTACTGCTGTTGAGATCTCTCCCTTAAAGTAGCTTTTTTTCCTGCCACTATTCAGAGCTGACCATATTAAATTTTCATTTAAGTATCTCCAAACATGGGAAAAATATATAGTATACAATTAACAAATAACACTTTCTAGTTACAGATTATTTAGATTTTATAAAGTAAGCATTTTATTCTTTCACAAATATATTCATCTTTTGCTTCATTCTTAGCAACAAGAAAAAGTGATTCTTTACCTTGGTTTTCTTTCAAAGCTGATTCAAAAGTGCTTTGATTCATAAAATGACTAGGCCAGCCAGAAATAGTAACTACAGCAATGTCCCCAGCTCAGGTATCAACTTGGGGTCTGAGGGCTGGATTGATGCCTAAGCATTCCCAACTTTTTTTTTCTTAATTTAATCTATAATTAGATTTAATTATAAGCAATTCCTTCTTCCAGCTTCTTAAGTGGACAGTTTTAAAGGGAAAGGTGGACTCCATTTCAGGCAGCATTTTTACCTTATTCTTGGCACAAATTGACACAAATAAAGCCTTGGTACAGAACCAAGGGCAGCTGCAGCTGAAATAAAGCAGAATTGGTGAAAGCCTACCCATGACAATAAGACGTAGAATTTCAGAGGAAACACTGGGCACCCTTTCTATCATAAACAAAGGTCTGAAATGAGCCAAAAGTAGTTGTTGCTCATGTTTATCTCAAGGCTTGATCTAAAATAATTAGTTGCATACGAAATGGATCAATTATATTTAAAATAATACATATTTAAACAGAAAATGAAGAACATCTTCAGAGGTATTCTTCATCATTTAACTTAAGGAATTTTTGCAAACACCCTTCAGTCTTAGGTATTACTTGTTAAGCACGTAGTGATACATTTCATGTATCACTGTCTGTAACACAGCCTCTTTGCATTAGTCTTGGCATAGTTGAGACTAATTATGTAACCAGCTTGCTGAGATGTGGCTAAACAGTCCTGCTTACATTGGTGGTAAACTCAGCTTGTGGTTTTCTTCTTTTCTGGCAAAGTGAAGTCACTTGTACAAGAAAGAGGCTTTGAATACTAAGTTATAAGGAAAGCTTTTTTGGGGGTGATGGTAGAAGGGGAATATTTAAGAATGAGCACAGGTAGTCAAGAAAGGAAAGCAACACTAGACTTCTGTATAATTTCTGGAATTTCTCTATATGAAAAAGTGCTGTCAGATGTAAGGGAAATATTGCATTAAAATTGAGATTCAGCAAACCAATGCTAAGATCTTGTATCAGTTTTCAAGCTTCTTACCATTATGGGAAGAACTTAAAGTATTCAGGAGGATAGGAATGGTCCTAGAACAACTCTAAGAGCAGGAAAAGCAGCATAATCTGAGTCTTGTTCTCCTGAATGTGGAACCTGTCGCATGAAGGGGACATGTGAAATGGCCAGGGAGTGAGAAAAAGGAATGAGATCAGTGTTTCAGAACATGTTGCACAAATTGATTACACTCAGGTTGTGTTCTGATGGATGGCAAAGGGAAGAACCTGAGACATGTTCTGTTTTTTCTCAGCATTAGCAGATAAATGTATTTTATGTCGGATCCAATACAATCATTCTCCATGTCTCCTCACCCCAAATCCACTCATGAGAGAGAAGACCCATAGCAAGTACTTAGAGGAGGTATAAAGTGAATGCAATCTGCTATTTTTTCCCAGTTCTGAACACTTTATTAGAGACTGTGTGAACTGGAAATTGTTCCTTGATCTTTGGTTTTTTTGGTTCTTGATGCAAGAGTGATCAGTTTAACCTTGTTTTTAAGCAGCTTTTACTTTCATCATGGCAGAAATGTCCTGCATCAGCGAGTTCCACAACTTCTTTTCAGCGTTAGTTAACTTTTACAACACAGGGTGTCTTAAATCTCAAGCTGTAAGACCGTGATTATTCACCCATCTCTGCATGAAATGACATGGTGATGTGTTTTAGTCCAAGTAATCTTTTAAGACTTTTTACAGGAACAAGTATTGCTTGTAAGAAGTCAACCTTCAAAAGGCAGTACATGACGCTACACACCATTTGACCTTTGGGAAGTTTAACTAAAGACATCCTAAAATAAATCTCATTCTATAGCAGCATTTCAGATTAACTGTACTATCTGTCTTTTGCTTTATTCAGGTTAATTCAATCTTCAGTTATTTAAATACACTCACCTTATTCCCACTTTTGATAACAAAAGCTGTACTTTATGGTGAAATTGTTTGTAATCAGTCCAGTCAAAAGGTATTTTTAAGATCTTGAATAGTCATGAGAAACTTATTGCTCCAAAGTCCCTTCAAAAATTCCACCAACTGTTCAGTCTCTTTCCAACCTGCACCATTCATTTTGTAACTTTAAGTTTTCCCCCTATGCCCCCCAAATGCAGAAGAACTTGTAATACCCCACTTCACATTTGTAGAAGGAGCGAGAGACTTTGTTAATGCCCTCTTATATCTAAGGAAACTTAAACTCACACTTTTTTCTTCCATGGAAGTACACTGGATATTAGTCTATATTAAAGAAAAAAATTAGCTCTATGGTTCTTGTGAAGCTAAAGGCAACCCAAGACTTGAAGATGAGAAGACTCATTTAAGAGAAAGATGGCTTTTAGTTTCCAAGGATTGGGGTTTTTTTTTATTGAAAGCAGCCTTTAGGGAAAACTGCAGTAATCTTCATCCCAGTTTGCCAGTTCCCCCTTCCTATTCCGAGTGTGACCTACCATAATATTCACGGCTTGAGTTGGAAGCAGTTACCCATAGAATCATATATCCTGAGTTGGAAGGGACCCACAGGAATCACTGAGTCCTGCTTCTGGCCCTGCACAGGACCCATCCCAAGAGTCACACCATGTGCCTGAGAGTATAATCCAAACACTTCTTGAACTCTGTCAGGCTTGGTGCTGTGACCACTTCCCTGGGCTGAAGCACTGTTCCAGTGCTCAACCAGCGTTTGGGTGAAGAACCTTTTCCTAATATCCAACCTGAACCTCCTGACACATGCTGTCACAGAGGTCATACAGCCATGAATACTACAATGCTGTATGCACTGCATGGGGCACAATCTAGCTCTTTGCCTACAAACCCAAAGTTGTAGATTTTCAAACTAAGCACTTTCAGTAACCATATACGTAGAACAAGATGCAACAGGACTCAAATGAACTTCAGACACTGTTCAAAACTTTTTGATTGCAATCCAATCCAGTATCTCTTTCCTGTCTTCTTCTATGTATTTTACCTTTCTCAACCCCAAACAAATAAACTAAACAGGCCAATTTGAGCTGATCCCTTCTACTTCCATCAGTGGTAAAGCTTTGAAGAGTAGTACACATTAGCACCACAGCTGAACACCAGCACTTGTATAAGTCCAACAGGTAGCACGTTGACACCTGAATAAAAGTCTGTGGAAGGACCCAACCCAGTGTGTGTCCAACATTCAGCAAGATGAAACTCTTCAGATGTCTCATCTCCACACACACTGTGCCACTTCAGGCATTAGCTTGAGGTGCCTATGTTGCAAGCAAGTTCCTGCAGAGGATTCTGACAACCAGAGACTTGAAAAGCTGGAATAACCATAGACCTAACTGCAGCTGTATACAGCTGGACAGGATAAATTTTAGTTTGGGTTCTTGAGTTGTGGATTACAGTGTGGGGGAGTTACATAAAGTCAATTATTAGCCTTAACATAAAGGCCTACTTACATCCTTAGTCAAAAGTTTTCCTCTCTGTGGTTCTAAATTTCCAGCTATTTGCACATGTATTTCTGTCTATCTCCTGTGAATTGTTTGATGTTCAAACTGGTTCTGGAGGAAGCTGAGTTTTCTTTCAAAGACAAGTCTAATAGATAATACTTGAGTGATTTCACTTTCAAGAGCAGGGAGAGACTGGACCAACAAGTTCTGCAGGTTGCCTTTGCCAGATCGGCTCAGGCTGAGGAAACCTGGGCAACAGCAATAGCCACCCACAGGGGAGCAGGCTCCACCCCGCCAGATCAGTTCCTCTGATACATAATCTAGAGAATAAAAAGAAAACATGGTCCTGAAAGCTGAAATATACACACAGGTAAAGGTAGTTCTTGAATCAAGCACACTTTTAAGAGTAAAAAAACCACCCAAAACCAACCAACCAACAAAGGAAACAAAAACCCACCAAAACCCCCACCAAACCACTTTATTCCATAATTGTTTTTTACTCAAGTTTTCATTCAGCAAGGAACAGTTTTCTGCCCATGATAATTTCAGCAATTCTCTTATTTTACACTAATGGAGCTCCTGTCATATTATAACTGGCCTAACCAGAATTCTTTTTTCCCTTGTTCCATTTAGCAACCTAGGCAGACATCCTTAACAAAAACATCTAATAAAGAAGACACTACAGAGCATGCAATCTTATTCTAGTTTACAGAATGAAGCACATGGCACGTTAGAGTACTCCTTTCCAAAGGGATTACTTAGTAAAAAAAGGAGAACAGCACCTATCTCAAAGTGTATTCAAGTGAATATTTTCAAAGGTAAATTTTTGGACTGCAAATTAAGATAATATCATTACAGCAGAAGAGGGGAAACCTTATTTTAAAAATGCTTTTTCCTGTGAAATCAAAGTTGCTGCTTTTTCATGATCTGTTGGAAGATAATCATCCTTAATACTCAAATCTGTTATGAGACAGGGTTTGTCTAGAGGTCCAACTGCTTTTTAAGTGAATCTTTCACTTTAATTAGTTTGGTAGCCTACAGGGCATTATTAGGTGTTATGATGAAGCTAACAATGAATATGGCTTTCGTATGTTGATAACGTCATTAGGTTTCACACAGGCACTCTGACAGCTGAGGGAGTTACAATCCTGCAGATACATTAAGTAATACATCTTTGCACACACAGATTACAGACCAAATTATTGCCATAGCACAAACCTGTTCCATTATGTATTTTAAATAGGACAATTAGGACATGCCTGCGCTGTGAAACAGCTACCCAAACTAAGTAGACAGTTTTTACTTAATATCACTAAACTTGGAGGTAACTCTCTCAAACATATTTAACAATACAACTCAGTATACTGAGTATATACTAAGAATACACTGTAATATTTATGTAAGAAACAGACAGAGCTAAATACCAATTAGTACAAGGATTTTCTGTGCCTTTCCACAGAAGCTGAGTTGCAGTGCCGGAATGACAATTTGCTGCTGTCTTATACAGTTCAGTCATCAGCAAAATCACATCAAGAGACTTAAAATTCACAGTCAAGATGATAGAGGAAGTTTTTCCAACAGTACTAGTTTTGGTTTCAAGTTTAAAGTAAATGGAGGTAGTGCAGTAAGGTTCAACCCAATTTTACTGATTCCAGGTATATTTGCCAGTGGCCTGTGGGTTGTCTTGTAATGTGATATTTGAAGAGGGTTTGTTTCCATCAGTATATGCGTGTAAGAAAACATCAACTGGTCTCCTGGTTTAACATCCTCCCTTTTGTCATACCTGTGAAGAATAAAGAGGCTTTTATTTATATTTCTCGCTTTACCTATTAAACAACTCTATTATTGCAGGGGCATGTAGCATTCAAAATGAAACAAAAAAGGAACTGTAACATTCTTAGTTATATTTCTTGATTAAATAATTAGTACTAGAGCAGGAAATAGTATTTTTGAAGAGTTCAGAGACTCAGTCATTCCATGCAAATCTTTCTGCTGCTAGTGTGATATAAATCAGGATTCCTAGAAAATTTTTTACTAGTCTCCTATTCAAGTTCTGTGTAGAAAGGACACCAAAGCCTAAGACTGTAGGAAACTGGACTAATTTTTAAGGTTTACTTTACCAGAATTGCAGTTGGATAAGTGTGGATTTTTTTTTGTTTGTGGGTTTTTTCAATAATTTTAAAAAAGTACATTAGGAGGTACTTTAGCAGAACCGCTTTTCTTCTGGTAGTCATACATTAAAGTAGAAGCCTCAGAGAATAACAGCAAGAAGACCTCCTTGAACTCTGTAGGAAAGAAAGAACAGCCTGACAATTAAAGTATTAACTTGGCACTTCTTATTTCTGAGTTCAGCTCCCCGATCTACTACCTATTTGGGCAGGTCACTTTGGGTCAGCTTTTATAAACTTGTTAAAGTACCAAAATATATATAAATTATATATATAAAAAAATATTTAAAAAGTAACTAGTGAGCTCTAAAACTATTTAACAGGTACACTTACAGTTATTTCGTAAAAAGGCTTATGTTCAACCTAGCTATTGAGGGAGTTTACAGGATGAGAAAAGTGACAGCCATTTGGCAGGGATGTGAAAGATCTAGCTTCAGTCACTCTCCATCTGATCTAAGCTCAAAACTGAAGATGATTATCTGTCAGAGCTGTATAAACCTCTCTAATCTTCTAGAAACTGAGATACATCTCCCTCACTGTCTCATGAGGACACTGTTCAAATTCACAATAGTTATTTATTCATTCACTGAGGAGAGTTCAGGTGCAATTTATAGCCCAAGGGTCAGGATACTCATACTGGACATGGCAGCCTAATCAAGTCTTCAATCCAACAACTTCAAAGGAGAAAAATGAGATGAGTCCACCCCAAAACACTCCACAGACCACTGTTAAGCTCTGTAACCCAAGTGAAGAGCAGTGCCCCATTCTTCAGCCTTTCTATTGCCCTGTTCTATGAACTGTTTTCTATCAGCATTTGTCACTCCTCTTCTTAGGCACCTGACTCCTCCTACACGTTTCACAAGCATCTTACTCAAGGCTGTGGCTTTCCTTGCAGACATGGACACTGGGAAGCAGTGCGATCCCAACCCTACATACCCTTAAATGCACCTAGGATTAAATCCAGCCTGCACCTTTGGCAACATGTCTTTGCAGGTCTGGGCCTCTCATCTGTCTGAATTCTCTGAAAAAAAAACCTCAATTGATATTTTTACAATGCTCCCTGAGATAGCAGTCACTAAGATTTAAGATATTTAAAGGAAGAACTTCACAGCAAACTAGAGGTTTTGTGTGGATTGTTAACTAAAATTTTGGCAATTCAGAAAAGATTCCAGGCTGACAGAATCCAGGTGTCAATAAATACACCATGTAATGCAGAATTAGATTTTGCACAGGGAATAGGTGCTTTCTTCTTCTAAAACAATTGCATGCTGATCTCACCTGCTATTTCCAAAAATATCACAATACCCCTTTAGGTTGGTACACACGTCCAAACGAGCAGAAGGAAAGGCATACTTTGTAACAACTTTACCACCTACTAATTTTGCATTTTCTTCATCAGCAAATAAGGGCCTTTCATCTGGCTGCAAGCATTTCTGAATTTTATTATTTTTAAATACTTTAAGCTTACACAGCGTATTTATTCCTGGTTCAAAGAGACTGCACTAATTGAAGGGAAGATTGTAACACCTGTCCTGTGTAAGAACCTGCATCAAGCTTCTTTCAATCAACCCTTGAAGAAAAATAATGGATCACTTGCATTTTTCTTGAGGCAAACAGATCTAATCTGAGCATGCCACTGAAAGCTGTTAACTTTAAGACACTTTTATTTATGGATTGCAGTTATCCTGATGAATCATCAGCCTTCACAGCCACCCCATCCACAAATCTGTTTTTGCCTGACATACGCTGTCTATGAAGATGGTAAATTAGTTTTCACCCATCTGAACGGCTGTCACTTCCTTGGATAAAGAGAAAATGGACAGTTGGTGCCGCTAAACTTTGCAGTACTGTGATAGTCTTGTGTATGATGCTCAATTGTGGATTGTGCCTAATTTTTTTATGTGAAACTTCATGATGAATCAGCCCTTCCTTGAGGCTTTGTTTTGCTGAGTAGAGATAAAAGTGAGAGAGACAAACTGCTCTGTAGCTGCAACACTATGAAACATTTATCAGTGACAGGGATATTATTCATTCACCTTCCAATCTCACTACACTATGCCTTACAAGCCCAAAACAACCCAAAACTCACAACTTCAAAAAGCTCATTGATATGAAGCACTATTTATAGAGTAGTGTTGTATTCAGAGTAGTGTATTTATTTAAGTATAGTCAAAAAAACAAAGATTGGAACATTTTAGCTATCATGCATGTTCTACCCCTTGTACTCAGTTTAATGATTTGTGGCTTGAGACTTTCTCTGGATCGAACATACAAAAAACCAAGTTGAAATAAACACTAGACGGGTAACTGTGGAGGCTTTAAACTGTCTGTACCATCATGAGAGAGCTTGAAAATAAAATAAGGCACAGCAAGATTGATGATTTTTGTAATTCTCCCAGAAGCATACTTATCCCTTCTTCTGCGTTATTTCCAAAGTACTTTTATCTCTAAACATATCAATAATTAAATTATGTTCATCTGATCCTGAATACAGGGGAAAAAGAACTCCATGTTTAGAGTACTTCTTAAAACAAAATTTGCTTATATTGCTTTTGTTTTGTGCAGTATGAAGGGAGGCTTTGTATCACTTTCTAGTGAGTCATTTTCATTAAGACGACATATTAAATTAGAAACCTACGTTCCAGCAGAAGATGTAGGCCTAAGAATCAGAAAGGTGCCTACTTTTTTGGTTTGTATCCTGAAAAGCAAATGATGCCATCCCACAATGTCTCCTACTATCCATTCCAATATTCTGATTTTTAAAACTGTCTATCACTGCTGGTCATAGTAACAAAGCACTCAACAGCCTTCTCTCAGAGTTAGTGAATGTGTCCACAACAGCAGCTTCAATGTGAAGGATGTTCCACACAGATTTTCAACATTAATATGTACATGAGCCTCACATCACTATACATTATTCAAAGACAAACAAAATGAGAAGATACCCCCACAATTATATAAAATCATCAAGTTCACCACCACCACGTTCACCATTAAACCATGTCCCCAGGTGCCATATTCACTTCCAGGGATGGTGACTCCACCACTTTCCTGAACAGCCTGTTCCAATGCTTGATAACCCTTTCCATGAAGAAGTTTTTCCTAGTATCTCATTTAAACCTCCCCTGGACAACTTGAGGCCATTTCTTCTTGTCCTTTGAAAGATTCTATGCTATTTAGGCAAATCAGAACCAATCAAAACAAAAAACAATACTGTTCTGTATTTCTGAAATGGTAGCACTGCAGACACCAAAATTCTCTGAAGATTGTTCTTGACCTGGCTTAATAAATACGCTGTACCAGAAACGGTGTTTGTAATGCTTGTCTCTGCACATATATAAGAAAGGAAAAAGCAGACTCCTTTCTTCAGATCAAAATACTTCATAACATACCTCCAATCAGAATTGATTTCTAGAAACCGAGAAACTCCCGTTTGTGCTGCAGCCACATCAATATGAACAGAGACATCTACATAAATAAAGAAAACAGAATACAGTTTCAACATTCTTCTAAGAGCACTCTGATTAATAATAAATTAAAAAAAGTAACAAGAAAGATGCACGTAACTAGTGTGAAGAAGTAGTATCCAATACATGAAAAGATATACTAGTAAAAAACCCCTAAAATTAAAATTAGGTGAACATACCTCAAGACAGCTTTACATACCTGCTGTTGAAGGTACCAACTCATGCAACTTCTGAATTGCCACTCCTCCAGGATAATTGAAATGTGAAACATATAAAGATGTTCCTGAATAAGCAGCATTAACTAGAAGATGCATGATAACAAAGAAAGATCCAAGTTTGTAGAGCCAGGATCTCCGGTAGTTATTCAGACTGTTGAAGAAGGAAAAAACAAAAATAAACTTATTTTCTTTCATAGTGATCATTGACTACCATGACAGAACTGTTACGGAAACTCCATTGCTAGATAATAAAGATTAATGCAAATTTTATTAATCATGTATGGCATGCATTTATTATCAATTTCTAAAAGATTTAACTTCTAGTGACATTTAAATTAGAATATTCTCATTAATATAGCTAAAACAAGCTCATTAGTAAAGCTAAGTATTTCTGTGTTTAAGACCATTAGCTATGATTGTATTGTCTGTCAAAGAAGTTCAGAGTTTAACTTCAATTTGTTTACTCAAGATACCCAACTAAAACTATTTAACTCCATGCTTCACGAGCCTCACCTGTATATTAAACTGTCTCCTGAGGTAAGTTATGTTAACAGCACAGGAGTACACTGGAATGTGTCTTTTTTCTGGTGAATAAAATAAACTGAATTGTAACAACAGTAAAATCAGGGCTCTATTCTCAACTCTGCTCCAGACTTGCCAAATGGTCCTGTCAAAGCATTTAACTTTTTTCTGTTTCCACTTCTCTCTATGGTTCGGTACATTGACATAGATCTCAACCTCCTTTCTACACCATATTGAACATCTCAAGGTGATCCAAAGTACAAGATGGGAAAAAGTGCATAAAAACAGTAATGATAATTTGTCTTCTCTTTTGCATTTTCAGAGGAAAAAAACCCAAACCAAACAAACAGAATTTTGAACTTACATTCGTGAGCACATTTTAGCAGCCACTATGTTGAAGACAGGGAAAGTATATATGATAAAACGCAGCTCTTTGTGGGGGAGAAACGAATACAAGAAAATAAAGCCCAGTGCTGGCAAAAGTAAAATCCGAGTTCTCTTTTCTGTTACACCTAAAGGAACAAATACAATGCTGCATCCCAAAGCACGAGGCAGGGCTGAATAGAAATACCACAAGAAGGGAGAGGTCTTCAAGGTGAAAAGGAGAGTTAAGGATGTTTTCAATCTTAAGAAGTGAAGTTAACTATTCTTTACAGTAGTACATACAAATTTTGCAAATAAGCAGTATACTTTTTGTACACGCATTTTTCCAGGCCTTTCGTTTCCTGCCTTATCTTTAGAGAACTAAAAGCAGTTGCTTAACATCATTCACATCACCCAACAGGGGCACATCAAATGGCACTAGTGATAGGCAACGTGAAAACCCAGGGGGAAGAAACCTGGTTTTACATAGGGAGAACACAAAGAGGCAAGGAGGAACAGTCAGAAGAGGAAAGTTACAATTTGCACAAAGATCTAAGGGACAGACGTGTCATAAATTTCAAATAATGAAATATTAGATCAAAAGTAGAATTTAGCACCCTCACTGAGTCTCAGGAATAAGTTACATCAAGTCTTTGCTTTGGCTGGTAGTATTATTTTTCCCTGAATGTTTCAAAGGATACACCCCAGTTGGAACTTTTGTTTAAAACTGTGTTATACCAGAGCACTTTCCCCTCAGGCCACACAAGTTGCCTCCAAAATAGAGAATCCACAGCAACTGTTAGCCCTAAAAGAATTAAAGAAATACAAATCTGCGTGAATTAAAAACTAGGAAAAAAGCAAACTAACATATCCAAATAGCACACTTACTGATGAGATCAATATAAACTGAAACATGGACTGTAAGCCTCACCCAAAACCACAGAGAAGATTGAATATGTCTGTCTTGCAGAGAAAAATGCAGAGAAGGGAGGCACTTCTTAATAGAAGTCTTAAAAGAAGCATGTTACATATTAATCTAATTGGGATTCGCCCTACTCCAACCCCAGGTGTGGAAAGCAGGGGTTTAGCTGAAGTTTGTTTTAAAACAAATGCTTAGAGCATTAAATGTCATGAACAGTAAGAAGCCCAAGTTAACTTCAAATAGTACTAAATAATTTTTTATTGTAAAAATGTTAGGTTACAAAAAGCAATCTCTAGAAGTTTGCTACTATTTATTTGGTGGGAAGTAGGAGGAGGATAAGGGATGAAAGGCAAAAAGGGAGAGCAGCAAAACCATCAGCCCCATCCCTTCTACTCCACACCTCCACTCTGGTATTTAAGGATTTTGCTCAGATAGGAAATGGCAGTGTCAGTGACTAATTCCCATTGGATTTCCAAACTCTTACGTCATGAGGTGCCTCCAAATCCACATGGCATGGTCGTTTAGTGTTTGTATTGTCCATGCTGTGTAAAGGACAGCACACTGCCAGAGATCATCACATATCTGACAACAGCACTTTTAGTTAGATAAGCGGGCAGAGAAGCTCAGAGTATGTGCATATGCACGGTTCTTCCATGGATGGGTAGAGACAAGGGGATTTTTCAACCTCTGTAGCATGGAGATCACTTAAGCTGTTAAATTAATGTAATAAAGGAACAGAGTTGAACTGTAACTCTCCTCACAACCCTCTCACTTGGTATCTCTGTCACACCGTTGCATTTTATCCTGGGATTCAGCTTATCACCGTGGCAATAGATACTACAACTGATAATATGCACAAGTAGCTACAGCCAGATACTAATTATACTGAAGTCAACTTGCACATCTATGCATCTTTAAGATCAGGACATTATACTGTAAGCATCTAAAGGTAGAGGTCACAGTATCTTTCTCTGCTCCTTGCACGTCTATTTCCTCACAGGGAAACTTTCAAGGAAATAAGAAGTCCTGTCATATTACTAGCAAATGGAATCAAACTAAAAAAAAAATACAAACAATACCAAAACAAAACAAAAACCAACCAACCAAAACCAATCAACCAAAACCTCCCAAACAAACCACCAAACCAACCAAAAAATGACAAAACTAAAAAAAAAAAACAAAAAAACCCCAAAACCGAAACAAAAAAAAAAAACAAAACAAACCTTACAGGACATTTACCAGAGAAATCAGCCAAAACTCCAGACTTCTCTTGAATTTAATGTCATTTGCTTTTTTCCAAGCAAACACTTACCCAGCCAAAAAATTCCAGCAGGAACAGCATGGGAAAGGACTTTGAAAATGGAGATTCTTTTAGTTAATAAAGTCACCAGGAGCATGAGGCCTAAGAATATGCAGAGCTCTGATCTGAAGACTATAATCGCCAAAGCTGAGAACCAAATGAATGGCCTTTGCTTTTGCTGTATCCAAAATGTCAATGCCAGGAGCACTGCAAAAAAAAAATAAATAACACACATCGCCTGACATGCTGAATTATTCTTTTTCTAAAGGACAACACTATTCTCAATGCTATCTTCTTCCCCTACCTTCCCACCAATCCTCTCTTGGTCTTCATACCATTCCTAGTCCAGAAATTTTTCCTCTGCTAGAGAAAGGTAATTTGGAATAATGCACAGCTTTACGCTTTTAGTGCTTAATTAGGAAAAGTATAACCACAGAAGTAACACATGGGAACTCTTTCTAGACAGTGTATTTAATAGCTTTTGAGGAGGGAAAAAAGAAAAACAAACCTTAAGGGAGTACTAAAAGCCTTTCAAAGTATGTTCATAATTAGCATTGTTTGATATCAGCCGAGCAGTTCATTTATTCTCTTGGCTAAGTATATTCTATTTTCATGAGCAGCAACAGATTTCAAACTATGAGATGACAGACTGTCGCTCAGGGAGAAAGAACCACAATTCATTTCAGTGATTAGCTGGAGACACACCATGTCTTTACACACTAAGTTCATAGGTTTTTTTGAACTGCAGGTGTACCTAGTGCCTTTTCAATAGCTCTATGCTTTATGCATTAGATATGTGTATTCAAACCTCTACCTAATCAAAGCTATTTGACAAAACCCACATACACTCAGATTCAATAAAACTTGATTCAACAGTCACTGTAAGCACATGATTAAAATAAAAAGAAAGGAAGAAGTCTCAACTAAAGTTTTCTAGTCTTGCTATCACACAATTTAATCAAGCATATGCATTATTTATTCTGACCGTACTTTTTCTGTGCTTTAACTATGATGCATTTGAAATAAGTTTTATATTTTAAAATTATTCCCGTGAAATACCTACCAAAAGGAAGTGCAAACACATTAGGGAGGGTTCGTGTACAGTAAAACATCAAATGAAACTGAGTGACAGTGATGAGACAGAAAATTGATGCTGTAGTTGCTCCAAACTGTTTTCTAACTTCTTTCTGCAGCTTCCATAACGTGTAAATCACACTGAGACCCAAGCTTCCTCGGACTATTAGAAGAATAAAAATGGGAATTAAAGAGTGGTATCAGACAGATCAGTGATGAACAGCCATGTTATATAATGTAATGCAAAAAAGTTCTGAAGAATAATACTGAAGATATCACAATATAAGCATCTTCAAAGAAATAAAAACCAAACAAAACTTCATTAGTTTATCTGTTCTAATCCACCTTTAACTGGTCTGGTCCTTCTGCACAAAGGTCAATGCTTCTATGACCAAGTTAAATGATATTTTCTGAAGCATACAACAAACATGCTTCAGAACACACAGGCGTGTATTCTCTGAAGACAATTGAGGCACTTGCTTTTTCTACAGTATCTGACATCTTTTAGCACAGACTTTCCATGTGCTGTTAGTTATCCCCAAAGAGGAAGAGGAACGGCTATGCTGGCCCCAAGTACCTACAGTTTGCAAAGTCCCTCATTGAGGAAAAGAATGTCACATTTTAACCATTGATCCAAACATTGAATGTAACAACGATGCCACCCCTTAGTGCAGCAGTAAAAACATCTCTATTCTGAGGATCTGAAGTTCTCATACCTATCAGCTGGGAGTAAAACTTGGACATTTTTAGCACAGAAAGTACATATATAGCTGGGCTGGAAAGGGCAGCAATAAAAATTGGTCCAAGGAACGTTCTTGGGACAACTCCAGGAAATTCATGATGGTCATACTGCAAAAACGAAAACTGATGTAAGATAAGCAAATCAGAAACAAAGGAAAATAAATCATATTCACACTGCATTTATCCTACTCATAGTGCAGGGAATTGTCATCTCTAACAGTGTCCAAAAATGAAGAAACACTTTTCAATTTACCTTATCCAAGTCCAGTTGGTGGTATACCACATCATGGATAGCTTGTAGGTTAAAGCTTTCCTCCACTTTTGTGAAAGGACAGACAGTCAAATGAACAAAAGCCACAACAATAAGCAGCAGCAGCAATGGGAATGACTGCCCACTTGAGTTCCTCTTCTGAGCCATCTTGGGCTTGAAATTCACAAATATTCTATTATTGAAAAGAAAATAAGAAGAAAACACATTAATAACATGGCATGAAGTGTAGAACCAAAGAAAGAGATTGATAATGCAAAGAAAATGTACTAAAGTAGTGGAAAAGTTTAAACAAAGTGTGACTTCAATTATGTCTGCACTTTGTGAGAGAGATAACTTTGTTATTTATTCTCATTTTAATCACACACTGGATTTACACATAATCTTAAGAATGTGCTCTCTCTCGTCCAGGACTCCAAAGTCAGTGGGAGAGGAACCACGAGGATGAGGAATTTCTCAGAACAGAGTACTTTGATCTTCTGAGTTTGCCAGCAGCAAGGTCTGGACTCGGCAAGCGAAGGACGAATCCCCTCTGGCACTTACACCCTGTGTCATTATGGCATCAGACAGCCTGAACCCCATCCTTCACACTTCTACCTAGAAATGAAGGCCACCTCTCCCTAGTGCTTTATTTCACAACACTGCTGAGCCATTCTTATGGTAGTATTTACATTGTACTTTATCATTATGATAAAATCATGTGTCCAGGTGCTACCAGAGCAGATCTATTTCATGTTCTTTTAATTTAAGCTTCCCACTTAAAGTTTATAATTTAATAAAAGACAAGAGATTTTGGTTATTGTTACTCTTGCTCTGTTCTCACAGAAACAAAACTTCAAAAATAGCACTTTTAAGGTACAATTGGGGTTTTAGTTAGAGATGTTTTCTCCTGTGTTTTGGTCTAAATATGTCCATCAAACAGATGTAAGATAGTTGGCAGATTTCCTAGGATCACTTAGCAACTGCTTCCTAGAGGTACCTTTTTTCTGAACTGATGTTTGTGCTGCTCATTAGTAAAAATAAATACGAGTATGTTCATGTTCCTTATATTTACAATTAACACCAATAAAGCCTAAAATTTGTGTTCTTCCTGTTAACTGCATGTATCTGCATATTATTTTATAAATCTCACTAACTGCATCTCTTTTTCTTACGATAGCTTCTGCTACAGACTGTTATTGAAGCTCTAAGCCTGGGCTTAAAGACAGGGAGCTCTGTATTACACCCTTACGATTTTTGCCTTGTTCTGCATTTTTAAAAGCCTAAACAACAGAGGCATCTAATGTTTCTGGCCAAACTTACCAAGGAGAAAAATGGACACTGGAGGGTCAATCCACCACTGCACAAAGCAACACGGGCATTGGAGTAGCTTATGTGTCAGGCAGAGCAGCATATAGACATTCACCAGCAAGGCAGGTATTCCTCACTCCCAATTCACAGCTTCTTAACATTTCAGATATTTTAGGACCCAAAAAAATCTTTTTAAAATGACGCATGTGCCAAAAAGCTCTATTTTTTCCTTCTTAACTACCTCAGTTTCATAAGAGCTTTTACCTTCACCTATAAATACTACATTCATTATCCTCTGACCACTCTACAATATAGCCTGCTCCTGGTATCTTTAACTGATAGGCACCTGAATAATCAGTCCCCAACTTCCTAAATCAGAATGAAAGCAAAGCTACATATCCCACACGCAGTTTATCACAAAGCTTTTTTTTTATCTTGTTGACTCCAATCCTTTTGTATGCCTGAATAAAGTAAGCATGCCAACACACTCGTACATTTTGAAGATAATTACATGCATTATAAATACTGAGATTCCCTGAAGGAAAACATGCTAGATGATAAAAAAACCAAAGCACAAAGACAACACTCAGGTTTCTGAGATAAAGCCTAATAAATTCAGTTGTCTTGTCAAGACTCAAGATAACTTGCTCTGCTGAAAATTGATGCTGACAAGCCTCAAAATTCAAGTGGAATTTATCAAGACAGGTAGATACTGAATTTGATGATCAAAATAAATTTTCAATATAAAGGCAAAATACTTACAATTATTTTTATTTTTTTAAATGCCAAAACCACAGAAACAGATTTCACTTAATTAAAGTATTTTAATAATGAACTTTAGAGGAATAATTGTAAGCAAGTACATATAGTTTTCTCCACTGTTAACATTCTGACAACTTCAGAAGAATCTTCCTCAGGGCTCTAAAATGTACCCACACTGACTTCCCCCAGATGCCTACATCATGACTGAATCACAGAAGAGCAGCAATTCTTCAACACAAAGAATTCATCTCTTCATGGGATTAAACTGAGTGAAAAAGAAATGGCTTTTTTACTTAAAAAAAAAAGGCTGAAGTACTTTCATCAACAATGGTTCATTGTTGTCCTATACTTTTTCAGTGGAAGTGCCATTAGTTCAAATGGACTTTTTACTCTTCCCATGAAAAACCTACCATATTTAGCTCATTTATGTTTTTCAAACATTCTTCACTATAAATATGATAGTGTGGTAGCCAAACTGCATGTTAAATCTGTCTACAGAGACTCATTTCACTCCCTCGCACAGAGGCATCTAAGCAGAACAAAGCGCATGCCACCTTATGGTGGGTCCTCCCTCTTTGGCTTGATCTAGCTTTGGCAAAGCCTGTGCTGTATCATCTTAAATTTTCATGTTTTTCTTTCCTGTGCCTTAATAACTCTTACAACTTTGCTCTGAAGTTAACTTCTCAATGAGGTCAGATTTAAACCTTGTAGTTGCCAGGATTACTTTTTCATCTTTTCTTAGAAAAAACTGCACAGTTACTATTCTTTTATATACTTACTCATAAGTTTGAGGATTGGCTAAAAAAAATAAAATAATTAAGACAAAAAGAGAAGAGAAAGTTGAGGCAAGAAACGAAGTATGGGACGGCACCAGACACGAAGGTGCGATGAAGCTGTGGAGCAAATGTCACTCACTGTTCGGACCGGGGAAGAAATACACAGAACGCTCGGGATTGAAAAATACGCAAACCCAACCCAAGGACCCTCCTCGCGCCCCGACCGCCATCGGGGCGCCCCGGGCTCCTCAGGGGACACCCCACACACCGCCCGCTCAGCCTGGGGTGCGAGGGGCTCCCGGACGATACCAAACACCGCCCGCTACTCCTGCAACACCGGCACCGCCACCCAGGCCGCCCCGGCTCTCCGCGGTAGGGGCAGGGACAGGCATCGCGCACACCCCTCAGGAGGCGGCTGTCCCGCGCTGCCCGGCCCCTCTCCCTCCCTCCCTCCCGCCGCAGCTCCCGCGCCCGGGAGGCGGAGAGCTGGGGCGGCCGCCTGGCAGCGCCCGGCAGGGCTCCCGGGAACGCCCTGTGTGCCGGCTGCAGCCAAGCTGTAGAGATGGCAACCCCGCTCCCGTTTGGTTGGTTGGTTGGTCGGTCGGTCGGTCGGTCGGTCGCTCCCTCCCTCCTTCCCGCCTTCCCTTCCTCTTTCCCTCCCGCAGCCCCGGGCAGTGCCCGCGACCGGCCCGGCCCGGCCCGGCCCGCACTCACCGCGCGCGCGCCCGCGTGGCCGCCCCGCGCAGGGCGCCAGCAGCGCGCGAGCAGCCGGGCCCGCCCCGCGAGCACGTGACCCGCTCCCCGGCCGGCCATGTTAAGTGAGGGCAGGGCACGCCCCGGCAGCGAAAGGTCTCCGAGGCGGCGGCTGCCGAATACAAATGGCGGGCGGGTTTGAAGCCCCTGCGGAGCCCGCGGCTGCCCGTTCTCACGATGGCGGCGGTGGCGCTCAAGGCCGGCCCGGTGCCCACCGCTCCCTCAGACGGCTCGGCCGCGCCCCCCACTCAGCTCGCCTGGCACGCGGGGCGCTCCCATTGGCCCGGAGCGTGGCGGGCGCTGATTGGACCACGTTCCTCGGCTCCCGCCAGCTCCACCAACGAGCGCACGCGGTCGGGGCGCGCGTGCGGCTGACGCGGAAATCTGAATGGGGCTCGCGCGGCGGCGCTGAGGGGGCTCGGCTGGGGCCGCCTCGCTGCGCGTCCCGGGCTACCGAGCCCTCGCTATGGGGCCCGGCCCCTCTGCTCGCCCGGGCCCTGCGCCGTGCCCGGCCCGCGCCGCCTTGGCCGTGCTGCTCTGCGCCGCCCTGCTCCTGCTGCCGCCGCCCGCCCACGGCGCCGGCGAGCGGCGGCGCCTGGCGTGCTCCACCTGCCGGGGCATCGTGGACAGGTTCAACCAGGTGGGCGGCGGGGCCGAGCCGGGGGTGGTCGGGCGGCCCCGCCGTGGGACAGGGGGCCTGCGGAGGCCCCACCCCGAAGGGCAGCGCCAGTCCCCGGCCGGGCCGGCTCTGCACCGAGGGCCGCGCTCTGGGAGCGCCTCCGCCGGGGCCGCGTCCCTGGCAGTGCCTGGGCAGTGACGGGGCCGCGGCGGGTCCTGCTCCGGCAGCTGTCGCGGTGCTGAGGCGGGCGGGTGGCAGAGCTCCTTCAGCTCTGCAGCCCAAAATGTTTTCGTGCTGGCCGTGCTGAGGTGGAGCGTGCCCGGCTTTGCGGGGAGTGCTGGTGGAAAACACCATCACCAACCTGTTGCCACCTGCAGCAGCCCTGCCTGTGACAGAGGACATTCGGCGTGGGCAGTGAAGGGCTGCTGCGCCTTGTGACAGGATGCTCTCGGTACGCGGATATCGGGTGCTGCGGGCTCGGTGGGTCACTTCAGCTGCGGAGGTTTTTTGTGCGAGTTGTGATGTGGTGGCACTGGCTGTGGCTGGGGACAGTTGTGTGATCGCCCTGTTGTACCGCTGGGTGTTGAAGTTACAACACGGTGCAGACTGGGCTAAGCGTTATCAAAGCTGGATGAAATAGAGGTCTTGTTCAGCTGATTATAATAAAGTTTCTGAGAACTTAAAGGAGAAGGGTATAAAATTTCATACATGTATGGGGGTTTTTGTAAATCAAGACTGTATCAAGGCCTTGTTTATGCATTAGGAAAATTAAATCCTGTTATGTTGTAACATACACTTTCTCACTTCTCATCTTGTCATTAGCTGTTTCTTTCACCTAGCAATTTGATCAGCAGCTTCAGAGCTTTGCTGAAGTTTCTGCATGGTGCTTTTCTCAATTTTTATGTAAGCATTTATTATTGCCCTTAATTTTTGTTAGAAACAAACCTTACATTGTTTTTGGTACTTTTTATTTGTAGGGTTTAGCAGATACAGCTAAGAAGAACTTTGGTGGTGGAAACACTGCTTGGGAAGAGAAGACGCTGTCAAAGTATGAGTCTAGGTAAGCTGTCTTAGTACTTCTCATTCAGCTACGTTTTGTGTCCACTGTATGAAATTTCACTGTACAAGTGTTTGTCTGGAACTTGAATATTGAACTAAAGTTTTGCTTGACCAAGCCTTAAATTCTTAATTACTAAACTGTTACATTACATTGTAATGTAAAGATTACAGTAAAGACTGAAATCTCTTATTAATGCCTTTATTTGTCTTGTTTCTAAAAACAACAAAAGTTAATTCTGTCATTGGTCATAGTAGTTTTTTTCTATTTACCCATTAAAGTCCTAAAAAAGTGATCCTAAATAATGGTCACTAGTTTATTGATAATCATAAAAGGTGCAGAGTACTGCAGTACTTGTTTTAGAATTAAAGCAGTATCTCCCCCCTAGAGTTGTCACTAGTTCAGTGCCAAACAGAAAACAGCTTACTGTACTCTTTTATATATATGTATATTTATATCTACGTTTGATTACGGAGCAAAGTAATCTGATGTCTTTCTCCTAAATTTCAAATTCATTTTTTATCTTAGTTGGAGCATTGAGATGTTACTATGAGCTTCATGGGCTTCTATCAAATATTAACAATACATGAAATTAATTGTTGAACATAAGAGAAGAGTACTGCACTCCAGTTTTTTGGGAAGCTAAAAATCTATCAAACCTACAGTCTGCAGGCATAATAAATGCAAGTAAGCCACGAGAGTCTCGTGGTCATTCTTCTATTTTCTTTTTTGATTGAAGTAACGTTCTTTATTTTGATATTTGCTGTGTTTTGGAACTAAATCAGAACACACCATAAACAGATGAAATATTCTAGGCTGAAGTCTGACTGCTCTGTCGTGGCTTGAATTGTGTTGAATGTTTAATTTAAACTTACAGTTTTCCTTCTCTGCTTGTAGCGAAATTCGTCTTGTAGAAATCATAGAGAATCTGTGTGACAGTAGTAACTTCGAATGCAACAACATGGTAGAAGAACATGAAGAACATATAGAGAAATGGTGGTTCAAATTGTAAGTATAATTTTTTTTGGTAGATATCTCTGTGTGAATAAGCTATCTTAGAGGATTAACTACTAACATAATCTTGTGCCTGAACAATAGCAATATGGGTAATTCTTCATTATTCCTCAAGAGTTGGTGTTGGGTACAGCTGGGTTCAAGTGACTTTTAGTATCATGTGCTGCTGCACTGTGTTCTTTTTGATTTTCAATTCCAGCAGTGTTGCACCAAAACGTCCAGTCTCACTTCTCATACACTGTGTACTCATTTCCCAGTGGGGTGTTAAGGCAAACTAACACTGGAAAACTGTGATGTTTAGTCCTTATTTGTTTCCCTTTGTCATAAAACTGCAAAGGACTTTTTGGTTCTTGTGGGGTTTTTGTTTGTTTGCTTTTTTTCCCTGAAACTGTTTTGTTCTCCTGGGAATCAAAAGAATAGTTGATGCTAATCAGTGTAGAAGTTGGATCTCTTGAAAATGGTAGAGTAGCAACTAACTTTTCTATCTGCCTTTTAAGCTAGCCAGTGATTTCTGTTACAACAGAAATCTGTTATAAGCTTTTTCATATACCAGTCTAAAATATAATTAGTGCAAGGATGGCACTGTAGCATTTAGATTTTTAATATCTGTTTTTTTATTTCCATAATCATGTTTCTTCTAAGTATTTTTTCACTAATTTAGACTGTCAGCATTCCCAATTAGCTAAAATTCAGTAGGGTGAACTGCCATTATAATGTTTCGTAACTAGATAAGGCTTTTTAATAATCCACTTTCTTCCTAAAGAATGCTTTATCCTTTTGCCTAACTATACAGGATTGTGTATACGTTAACATATCAGTTGAAGGGAATAGAATAGAATAGCAGAGCATAGAATAGAATATTTCAGTTGGAAGGAACATGCAGTGATCAACTAGTCCAACTGCCTGCCACTTCAGGGCTGACCAAAAGTTAAAGCATGTTATTAAGGACATTGTCCAAACACCTCTAAACACTGACAGGCTTGGAGCATCAACTTCCTCTCTAGGAAACCTCTTCCAGTGTTTGAGCATTTTCTTGGTAAGAAATGCTTCCTAATGTCCAGTCTAAACATCCCCTGGTGCAGCTGTGAACAATTCATGTGTGTCCTGTCACTAGGTGCAAGAGATAAGAGATCAGCACCTCCTTCTCCACTTCCCCTCAGTAAGATGCAGAGAGCAATGAGCCTTCCAGAAACATAAGCTATGCAACCCAGAGTCTTGAATTTGGCTTAAATTTGCAGAACTGAAAGAAACTGGTCTTACACTAGAAAAGTTGACAAAGTAGACTTCCTAAAATAAACAAAACCATTCATAAAATTGGGTTTTGGCAAGTGTCTGTATTTAATAGGCCTTTTGAGTGTAATTTATTATTTCTTTTGCTCTTTAACCTGCAAATGTCATTCAGTTTCTGTGGTAGTTTTCAAAAGACAATTTTTTTGTCCATAAATGCCTTAGGTCTTTTTTTCACAAGTTGTTATTTAAAGGGTGGTCGATCACTGGAACACGTTCCCCACAGCACCAAGCCTGTCAGAGTTCAGGAATCATCTGGAGGACACTCTTTGTCATATGGTTTAGTGTTAGGAAGTCCTGCAAGGAACAGGGAGTTGGACTTGATGATCCTTCTGAGATATTCTATGGTATTCAGTAAATTTACTTTTCAGGGTCTGAGCATTAGAGTTGATATGGGTGGGAGAAGCAGTACATGCCTTGGGAGTTGCTGAATACTCTTGTTAGACTACAGAATATCTATGTCTTTTCTTAAAAAGTTTTTGAAACTTCAGCATCAACAATACTGAGATCTGTGAATTGTCATTCAGAGCCCTAGTAGTCCTCATAATTGCTTGCCAAATTATATCTAGTGATTTCACTGTTA